AGAATCGAACAACCATTAAAGATTGGACGCATGATTTGGAGTATGTTTCCAGTCTGTCCGCCGAAAGAAGACCCATCAGTCACATAAGAGTTTCATAATTAAGAAGAAGCTGCTCAAGAAATAGAGACAGAGTCGAGACAGTCAATTCCTTACTGGATCTGGATGTGGACCGATGACACCATTCGACATCGGTTACAATGCCAAGCGCCGCCACCGATGCTGCACCAAGCTTTGATTTTAAGTGTCGTCATTGAATTTATTGTTTCACTGTTATTTTGATTTTGAATCAATAAAAAATAGAGTGATATGTAAGAGTGGTTGTGAGAAGAGAAACTGGGAAAAGGGGTGGAGCTTTTGTTTTTATATGATGATAGGTGGCGGAGGCGACAGTGGTGTAATGGGTTTTTTGTTTTGAAGATGTTGCTTCTGTGATGCAGGAAACTAAAAAAATTGAGGAAAATCGAAAAAATATCAAAACCTGAAGTTGGGTAATTTTCAAACGAGGGTACCAATGGTGGTGATGCTGCCTTTGAGGGAAAAAAAAAGAATTGGAAGAGACGCATAAATTAAATGATAGTGGTGGCAGTGGCTGGTAACATTGGTTGTAGGAGATTTTGAGCTTTTGGTTTTGACAGTGGGTGGGATTGGGGATGAAGAAGGAAGAGGAAGAAGGGGGCGACATGGATGGAGAAACGAAGGGGACAAGAGAGAGGAAATAATTATATTTTTTTGGACTTTTAATTTTGAGAATAGAAAATTGAGTTTATATTAAAAAAGGAAATCATCTCTTTTTTTAATTTTCAGTTTTCTTTTGAAATTTAACTATTTTCATCAAAAAGAAAAAATTGATCTTTTGACAAGTCAATTGTTCATCTGTTGATTGTTACACTTTAAACACTTCTTGGACGAAAAAGCGAAAAAAAGACAAAAATACAGCTTACAGTATTTTTAGTAAGGACAATTGTAACTTGAGTTATTTAGTAAGGACGGAACCCCAACTTATGGTACTTTTTTTTGATAATTAAGTGTTGTTGTTACTCACAATTTGATTTGTTTTTCAAAAAGCTTTTTTGAAAACAAAAGAATTTTGGTCCAAATAAAGAATAATGGTACTTTGCTAGGGTTCCAAACCATTTTCTCAAAGAGAATGGGATTCCTTGGTTTACCAAACTAGCTAAGATCCCAAAATTGATTCTTTCGAAACCAACTTAGGCTCTGATACCAAAAGCTGATAGCAGTCTTATAAACGAACCAAATTTTATTAATGTAACCATCAACAAGAAAGTATGAAAAACATGCTTAAATGTGAAATTCTAAAATAGTGCAGAAGAATCACAAATAAGCGGATCGTTGACATCGATGAAACTACCTTACAAACTCAAACTTAAGTCATAAACACAAAATCCAATAATTACTTGAATTAAACAATCGAGTCACATGGGCTAAACCCTTCAATATCATCGAACAATCACACATATAGTTGTCGACACATATAATGAACAAATCACTACTCAACTACAAATAATACCAATTAACTTGGACTATTCATAACCAAGGAAAATAAGCATACAAAACACATAAATCGATATGTTATTTCCAAGCAACAAACTCAATATGGTATCTCATGATCAAGAATCATAAGAAATTCGAAAAACTCTAGCAAATCATGCTTAAAATCAGTCGACTCTCAATCAAATTGAAAACAAGAAAATTAGTTTTAAAACAATTAAATCATGCAAAAACAAAAATGATAAAACGGTTTTTCTCTAAGATTAAATCCATTAGACCTCAAAGACAAAGAAATTTGACTAACAGTACAATCTCTCCATAACAACAGATAAACCCCATTGAAAATAAAACCATCAAAAGATGATAATTCATTAAAAAATCATAAGACTCATAAAAGTTTCAATTCATCTTTACCATGCATTGGAGCTATCGGCCTAACCCTTTATCTAGGGAAGTTTTCTTACTCTCCAAGAACTAAACCTATACTTTAGGCTGAAGAAAAGTAGATTTTTCCTCTTCTTTACTATATTCTCACTCGCAGAAGGAAAAATGAAGTCAATTCCAACTCAAACTCTTAATTTAACTTAACCTAGAAGTAAAGTCAGACCTTACTTATTTTAATAACAAAAGGACTCAATACCCTTAATGATTGTACTAGGGTTCGTTTAGTTGGATTTTAAGTTAACCCAAATTAAATCAATTTATTTAAATTAGGTAAACAGAATTATTTTCCATTTATAGGCTCTTTCAATTATCAAAGTAATATAGACGGAAACACCATTTTAAGACTTGAATCCCATTCGACCATCCTCATTCTCAATGCTTTTCGTCTATATCTTCAACTTCAACATTGAGACGGATATGATCACACACGGACGTCTCGCATGAACCTAGATACTTCTTGAACTCCAATAAAGTGATCTCTATACATAAGAATGTGCATCTTCAATACTTTCCTTGCGCCTATTGCTTGGAACTAACTCACTAGCACTGATCTTTGCCACATCTTTGCTTGAGTTCTCACTTGAATCATCACTAGTACCCCAATTCTCAACAAATCCATCAGTTGACTCATTAGTTAATTGATCCTCGCTTTGATAATTTAGTAATACTTCATCATTGCTTCCTTCAAAAAATTGAGATGTAGGTTTCCTCCTTGGAGGTCAACTCCTCACAACAAATCTTCCATTGCTTTGAAAGGAAACAATCTTGATCCTCCAAAGACAAGAACACTTTCTTATCCTCCAATTTAGAAAAACTTTGATGGAAAACTACATGATTCTCATTAGACCCACTACAAAATTTAGTTTAGGTTAGTCCAAGTTATCTATAACCCCTACTAAGAAAATCACATAAAGTATCACTAAGGCTTCAACTCTATCATGTGTTTTTCGTGTTCTATTGCCTTAACTTTTTAAAACTAACTTTTTTGCATTCTTTAATATCTTGTCTTAAGTTCATATCCCTATTCTCTAATACCATCAGTAACAACCCTAATGCACCTCATTTGTCGATGTTAATTTAGTCTAGGTTAGTCCAAGTTATCTCTAACCCCTACTAAGAAAATCACATAAACTATCAGTAAGGCTTCAACTCTATCATATGTATTTTGTGTTCTACTGCATTAACTTTTTATAACTAACTTTTTCACATTTTTTAACATCATATCTTAAGTTCATATCCCTATGCTCTGATACCACCAGTAACATCCCTAATGCACCTCCTTTGTCGATGTTAATTCGATCCGAGTCCCCAAAGTGACTGAAAATGTTAATGGTACCAATTTAGAAGACAAATGTTAATAATGAATCAGCTGATATTGAGATTGCTTGGGGTGATGGTGGCTGGCGGTTGAAGCAAAAAAGTGGTGGCTATTGATAACAAGATTGATGTTTGATGGTGAATGGGGTTGGTGTTGACCGGCGAATAGTGGTTTGGATTTTAGGGGGTGAATTGGAATCGAAATGAAAATGGAGGAATGGTGGTTTACATGAGCGAGATGGGGAGATGGTGAGTTCGGGTGCCCAATGTGAGATGTCTACTGATGAGAGCGTACGAATGTGTGTTATCATTTGACGAGAACAAAAAACACGGTTGGGGGAGGGGTTTGACAATTCTTTTCTTCACGCAACCCCTAAGTCTCTTAGTTTAGTTAAATTGATCCCACATCTTTTATTTTCTATATTACAGTACATCAACCCTTCATATGGTTTATATTTAATCGCAACTATTCCTTTAGTTTATATCTAATTACATTTCACATAGTCTCTTTCTTGCGTACATTTTACAATATTATTATTATCAACTTTAGGTGGCTTATTCTTTGCTAATAGTATTATATAACTAACAGCTTCTATAGGTAAATACTAAGCTAGGTACTCTTTTTACTATTGCATGCACAGAAAAAAATCACAAAAAAATTTATAAGGAACAATGTGTCAAATATCTAAACTATGTCCTAACCTTAAATGCATAAATTCCATATAGAAAATTCTAAAAATCAATGGATGAGATGATTTCCTCGTTATTTTTCCTGTGACTTTTTCCCTACACCTATCATTATTCTTTACTATTCATGTTCAAATAGAAAGGTTTAGAGAATGGGGCCTCACAATTTTAAATATGTAGGATCCATTATAAAAGAAAGTGGAAGTATTAATAAAGATGTAACACAACAAATTCAAACATGATAGAACAACAAATTCAAACATGATAGAACAATTTTAAATATGTAGGATCCATTATAAAAGAAAGTGTATCATCGTATTTTGTGATCATAAGGTATCATTGAATTTGAAAGTTAAGTTCTATCGAACTGCTATTTGACCGACGATTCTTTACAGATCAGAGTGTTGGGCTACCAAATGTGAAAATGAATAAAAACTATGAATAGCAAAAGTGAGAATTTTGAAATAGATTAAGATTAGAAAATAAATGTATCAGGAGAAAAAAAAAAAAGGAGTAGTAACTCCAGTAGACAAAAAAAATGAGAGAACCACGCTTGAGAATTAAGATGGTTCGGGTATGTGCATAGGAGATCAGTGGATGCCCCTAGTGGATGCCCCTGGTAAGAGGTAAAAACTACAAAAATCAAGAATTCAAATCGAGAGGGATAAAGACAGACTTACGAAAATTTGGAAATAAAACAAAAAATGATTTAAAATATTTCTATTTAGATGAATTATTACTGATTGAGAAGTATGGTGACATATGATTCATATTGCCGATTAAGTTGAATTATTTCGAATTCTTACTAAAACTACACAAGTTTGTAGTACAAATTCGGACATCTAGAAAATAGCTATCTAATTAATAATTTTTTTGTCCGTAATTAAAATTATAATAATTTGTGACATTCATAATGCCATTTAAATTCTTCTATTAGCCCAATATTTTCATAAACTGTCATCCTTTGGATGATCAATAGCCCAACATTCCCTGTTGAATTGGGTTTCACAAACAGAGCAGAGTCCAACTTCTTCCACTTAACCTAAAAAGCCCATTCCGGAAACCCTAAGTCCTTTCGGCATATATAAGGTATCGTATCCCAATTCACTACTTCAGAACTCTCTTTTGCTCTCCGTTTTCTCCCTCTCTAAACCCTAGTAGATTCAGCCGTCAGCCTAATTCTCAAGCACAACCAACCATGGCGGAAAGAGGCGGAGATCGCGGTGGTTTCGGCCGAGGCTTCGGAGGACGAGGTGGAGACCGTGGGCGCGGCCGTGGACGTGGTGGTCGCCGTGGAGGACGACGTGAAACCGAGGAAGAGAAGTGGGTTCCGGTGACTAAGCTCGGCCGTTTGGTGAAGGAGGGAAGAATCACTTCGTTGGAGCAGATCTATCTCCACTCTCTCCCCATTAAGGAGTACCAAATCATCGACACCCTCGTCGGCCCATCGTTGAAGGACGAGGTGATGAAAATCATGCCGGTTCAGAAGCAGACCCGTGCCGGTCAGAGGACCCGGTTCAAGGCTTTCGTCGTGGTTGGCGATGGAAACGGCCATGTCGGTTTGGGTGTGAAATGCGCTAAGGAAGTGGCGACTGCAATTCGTGGTGCCATTATCTTGGCTAAGCTATCTTTGATCCCTGTCAGAAGAGGATACTGGGGAAACAAAATTGGGAAGCCCCACACCGTTCCTTGCAAGGTTACCGGAAAGTGTGGTTCTGTTCTTGTGAGGATGGTTCCTGCTCCTCGTGGTGCTGGTATTGTGGCTGCTAGGGTTCCTAAGAAGGTTCTTCAGTTTGCTGGTATTGAGGATGTCTATACTTGCTCTCGTGGATCTACCAAGACCCTTGGAAACTTTGTCAAGGTTTGACCAATCCTCTTTTATTTCTCTTTAGATTCACCTTTTGTTGATTTGAGGGTATTTGTTTGGCCCCTGTTTATCTTTAGATTTGCCTTTTGTTGATTTGAGGTTATTTTTTTGGTCTCTGTTTTAGTTAGATATGTGTTTGTTTGGGAATCTACTTTCATTTGTTTTGGTTAATAGTAAGTGTAATCATGGATAAATGAATCTGTTTTTGGTATGTTTGTGATATCATCAGCCCTTCTTTCTAAATATAATAATTATTTATGTACATTTGACCAGTGTTTTAAGGTTTTTGTTCTATTTTATTGCTAAGCCCCTTTGAATTTGTTCATTTGTGGATTGTTTAGCTACTGTGTTCAATGTATATGACTGACTAACTGTGGTTTGCAAGGATCTGTCTTGTTCTGGTTGAAAGAAAGTACCTATTTCATGGATATAAGCATGCTCAAATGTGATTCTTTATTCTCATTGAATTTGTTTGTTGGGTCTTTTGATCAACCTTGCTTATCTTAGCTTGTCTTTCTTTTTATTTTGAATCTGTATAGTTGAGTGAATGATTGATTCTGAGTTCATTGTTTAGAATGCTGTCTTGTGGAGTGCCATTTTCTTTTGTTCACGTTTAGTAATTGTGGTATAGTCAAATAAATTATGGCCTTAGTATACTTTGTGGAACTTTTTAGAGTTTAAGCCCATAATTTTGTCTGCAGGCCACATTTGAGTGTTTGTTGAAGACCTATGGTTTCTTGACACCCGACTTTTGGAGGGAAACTCGCTTCACAAGGTCTCCATTCCAAGAGTACACCGATATGTTGTCGAAGCCCACTGCTAAGATTACCTACATAGAGGATGCTGCGCCCGAGAGAGTTGAAGTTTAAAGTATTTAGGCTTGTGCAATTTTGCTTGGGAACTGATGAACTTGTAGTATCACCTCCTATTTCAGAACCGCTTAAGATGTTTGCTTTTCTTGATACATTAATGTTTTCATTTTATTAAGAATTAAACTAAGATCTCGTATGTTTTTTGGTGATTGAATGAATATAATCTTATCTGCCAAATACCCTCTGAATTGGATTTGTGTGTTCTCTTATAGCTAATGGAGCCAGAGGAGAGTTACAGCTGATTGCTAGTCGTTTGTAAGAATTTTGGATTGGAATCTAGATTTAGGGTCTCCTGTGTAGTTTACTCTTCCCAGCGCCCAAACTCTGTCATTTGCTAAACCGAAGTTAGGTGTTCGAAATCAGGTGCCTTAGTTTGTCCAACTAGTAGAAGTGTTCTGTGAAACAGATATTACAATTCCTTGTCTATGCAATTTTTGTATTGGTATTTACTCGTACTCAGGGATTGTTGCTTAGACAAAGTAGGATGGTTACTTACACTAGATTAAATATAATACTCTATTTGTACTAAAAACTGAAAATCTAAACACGATTTGAAGGTTAACTTGTGATTACATAAAATGAAATATGTAAGGGCGAGTTACATTTTACCCCGAGTTTTGGCCTTATCTACCATAAACTCCCGAGTTTTAGTAATACTACCATATACCACCTTGACTCATAGTCAACTTACCAAATTTCCCCTTAATATATTAACATCATCATGAAATTTTTTGTAAATGGTCAAAAAAATCCTCCAATTAATATTTTTTAAATTATATTATAATTTTTTTAAAATATATATCGTAAATTAAGTTAAAAAAATACAGTCCATATTAATAATTTTATATTAATGCACTTAGATAATTTTTTAAAAAAATTAACTACATTATGTCTTTTGAAATAAAATAACCTTCATTAATTTTTTTTTGAAATATAATAAATTCACATTATTAATGGTTGATGAAATTTCATACATTATATTATAATTAAATGTAAAAATTATAAATTAATAAATTTTCATTATTCATGAGAAAAAAACAAATAAAAACAAAGTGTAAAAATAAAGAAAACAAAGTGTATGTAAACAATGGTTATTAAATAAACCATTTAATGTTTAATCCCTGTCCATGTGTATATGGTAGTATTATTAAAACTCAAGGGGTTATGGTAGATGGAGCCAAAACTCAGGGGAGGATGTAGTTCACCCAATATATAATATTATAAATAACGAATCTTATTTGAAGGTTAATTTGTGATTACATGTAATCAAATGTAGTAGTACTAGAAGAAGAATTTTGAAGGTCAGTTTGTGATTATGGCGAACATTACCTGAAAAGAAATAAACCAAAAACAAATGCGTAGATTTACGAAAAATGAATTATTGCAGATCATCATTATAAAATTAAAACTCTCATCGATCCTAAGACACAAAAGAAACTCGCAGAGAAAGGAGCTCGTGGAGAAAAAATTACTCGTATACATCTTGGCTGTGGGATTGTAATACAGGATCAAAGATAATACTACAAACCAAGAATCTTATCGGATTTGAAGGTCAAAGTGTGATTATGGTGGAGATTACCTGAAAAGAAATAAACCAAAAACGTCATATAGATTTACAAAAAAAAAAAAAAGTGATTTATTCACCGATCATCATATGAAAATAAAACTGTCTCATCGATTATGAACACAAAACAAACTCGCGGAGAAAGAGAGCTCGCAGAGAAAAATTAATGAAAACAAATTAACAAAACGACATGAACAAATAAATCCGCCTTCAAATTAGTTAACCCTGTTGTTTATTGATTGGTGTTGCAAATTAATAAAAAAAAAATGGTCGATTGATCAGGTTTTCCATCCGTGAAATGTCTTAATTTAATTTTTGAATGAGATAAAAACTGAACAAAAGATACGAAGAGTGCTCATAGACTAGCCTAAGCATTCCTCCAGTTTGGTTGAGTTTATGAGTTCTTGTAAGTTGTAACCTTGTATCTGGAATATTAATAATACATAGTATGTTTCTTTTCCAAAAAAAAATACTCCCTCCGTCCCATAATTATTGTCCAGTTTTACTAAAATGAAAGATTTTATTTTTGGTCAAACTTAACTATATTTTACCTTAAACAACCGGATATACCTCTACATAAGTAATTGTTTAACCAGTAAGATTTTATGGATAATGTTTTTTACTAAGGACAAATGTGTAACTTGATCCATAAAAAGTCAAATTGAACAATAATTTTGGGACAAAATTTTTTGGGCAAAGTGGACAATAATTATGGGACGGAGGGAGTATATATATAATAAATTATTTCAAATTGCTCTTACTTTTGGACTTGATTATTTTCCAGGTAGAAGAGAGCAGACTTGAACATACATGTTAGAGCTGCCTTTTCTAAACGGTTAGGAAATGATGCATTTTTACTGCTAGTAGTAAGTTTGCAGTTCTTTGGTTCCTTTTCACCTATCTTTGGCATTTCTTTCTGTTCAGACCAAAGCTATTATGCCCACACTTCATTCTGCAACAGTTCAAGACAGGGTTAAATCAAACTTTGAGGCACACTAGTGTATTGTCCAATCTCATTCAGCAGAATTAGGCAATTTTGGCCGGCAAATGACCATGCAATTATAGTCCCTGGAAGGTCTAATCACGGCATTTAAGAAGTTCAAAGCTCACATTCTCTATTAGCAGTTTCCCTTCAATATATTCGGCAACTGAGGCTGATGAATCGAAGCAAACTTTGGATTTAGGCGCCACATTGCATGGAAAATTGAGGTACTCTACCAAGTGGAATCAAGAGATCCTTCATGATCTCGTATTCTTCAGCAGTTATCTGGGCACCTTGAAACACCTGTACAATAATAAACATCCTTAGAACGATTGAAGTTGCAAAATCAATCAGAATCTACTTTCTGGGGTAGCAAAAATGATTTTCAAAATTCATATTAACAGAGCGAAAAACCGAAACTAGAAAATATATGCTCAACCCTTCATCTAATTTCTGCTTTACTTAACATTATTGTTAGTCTAGAGGTCCTCCTCAATAAATCCCTCTTCACACAAACAAATAAAATAAACCAAACCAATAAGTGTGTTGAGCTCTATAATCACATACTTGGATGCAACAATGCATGAGCACTTGAAGCCAAACAAGAAGAAGGCATTTGTACAATTCATTCTTCCAATATTGACAGCAACAAGACACCATTTGTCGATAACAGTGAGTTTACATGATTGTCCCAAAAAGTTGTACAAAGAACAAATGCAAAGAAGAAACAACTTAACAAGGTGTTGCTAATGGTCATAAAAATGAGCTGCATAATTCAACAAGAAACAAGGAAATAATAATAATAAATAATAATAACCTCGTAACAATGCACAAGCTAGTGATGATATCTAACCTTTGGCAGTAAAATTCGTCTACCAGTCATGTAAGTAGTCAGTGCAGGGATCCTGCAAACTGATAGAGCATCAAGAAAAAGAAGAACAACCAGTTGCCACTGCTTCATTCAGAGAGGTGGCAGTGGATCCACAAAGGACATAGTATCCAGCAGATGGTCCTGTATACATTTCAGAAAAGACTGAAACACATGAAAATGACCAGAAGAAAGTACCATAACGCAAGCCTACAGAAGATCTAATGTCTTCTTTTAAAATCAGAACAATTCCCTCAGAACCCTCTTAAAGGACTGAACCCACCAAGGGAAATGAACTCTGCAGTTCAATTACATTGTGAAAACACAATTCATAACATATCAGGCAGCTAACTCAAAGACACAAGAGGACCGAACCCACCAAACCTATTCAAAACTCTGATGTCCACCAAGAGAAGGCAAGCATCCATATAAAGTAGCAAACCCTCTAACATAAAGTGATCCTAATCAAGACGAAAGAGACCAAATACTTCTAGCACCATATGCAAAGAAAAGGTGTTCAGTACCATTTCCTTCTCCAACGTAGATAGAGGCACTGGTAGTCTGAGATCAGTAACAAGTCCAGGCAATGCAGGAGCAAGGCAGCTGGACAGTACTAGCTTGATTTCTGTGGATCGACCATCTAAGGCTATAATCTTGCAGGGGTACTCCCTTCCATTGACACACGAATATTCGTCATAAAGGCTTTCATCGTGTCCATAAATGTAAGCCAAGGAACATGATGATGTCCATGCAAAGAGTGTCATGTACATTGTGGCAAATGGTGATAGCTGCAAAGTGGAAGAGGATATCAGCATTTTTTACATAAACACTAACCTAAATAAAAAGCTAAATAATTCCTTGAGAAACACTTACTACTAAATTGAAACCCTCTGGCGGCTCATCATACCAGGAATCACTCGAGCTAGAATTCATAGGCCATTTTAAAGAATCAGGTTCAGAATCAAGCATATCAAATTTCTCCTAAGCTTTAAAGTCAGCAACTTCATCTGGAGGTGGTAATACAATAATCCCAGCTTCAGAAACTGTGAAAAGGACAGGAACAGGAATGAGAAAAATACTTCAAAGAGCGACCTTGTCTAGAACAAAAGACAAGAAGAAAAATTCATACTCGCATCGGAGATATCAGAAGCTCCAGATGCAACAGGTTCAGCAGCTTCAGTGAGGGCTCTTGCACATGCTTCAGCAGATAACAATCTATCTGGATCCTCATCCCCTTTCACTTCCACAGTGTTCAGTATTCCAGAAGTATCATTTTTGTCCTCTGATTTGTTCAAATTGCAGAGAATTTTTTGGCCATTGCCATCTGTTTTATCCTCTGGTTCTCTAAACCCGCAGAGGCTTTTATTGCTATTGCCATCAGTCTTCTCATCAGCCCAAGTAACAGAACGGGTTTCTTTCTTTCTGTTTGATGATTTTAGAGAAGATCTTAGTAACGTTTGATTTGACCAAAGTGCCTTTTCATCCTGAATTTCTGAAGTTGCCTCACTAAAATTCAAGTCAGGTGCATTTCTGGCAGAATCAGAAGATGAATCTGTAATAACAAGCTTCTGATTCACGTCTGTTGATAATGCATCAAGTTTTTTCTGCATGGCCTGTTTTCTCTGAGCTTTTGCTAGTTCTTTACTCTTATTTTGGTGTCCCACAGAAGCAACCCGCTCTTCTGATTTAGCTGAATGCTCTTTCAACCTTTTCAGCTTCATCTACCCTTTCAGTGACTCAGATTTTCCAGCTGATGTCATGTTCGCTTTATCTGGATCTTTTGAAACGCTATATTCATCTTGAAAAATAATGGTGCTTGTGAACTCCACCCCACTAAAAAACTTACCTTTTTTTAGGTTTTGCTTGGGCATCATTCTTAGACTTCAGCCCTGTCATGAGCATTCAAAGCTCATGTCACTTATATAGCATACACTCAGAGCAACATAAGTTCAATCCCTTAAAAACAAACTAGCATGCATCTAGTTTACCACAAACTCCTTGAAAGACTGGCAGATAAAACATTGAATATTTGCGTGTTTTACCTTTGTCAGATTTATCTGGCTGTTGCTGGTTGAAAGTAGGGTCTTTCTGTGGCACATAACCCTCAATAGCATTTGATGGCCCCATCCACTCTTTCAAAGTCACTTCCCCAGCACTTTTGTCCATCTTCTCATGTATTTTCAATGCCGAAGGCCCAAATTTACTTTTCTCACACGCATCCATCTTGGAGTCTTCCAATCCTAATCCCTCAAACAGCCTTAAAACTTGGTTCAATTTCGTGGGGTTTAGCGCTGAAGACCTCTCTTCCTGCAGGCTTGCCGGAAATGCTCTACTGTTTATCACACATTCCGGGGAGCAGTACATGTAGGTTTCCTGAAGATCGTAAACCTTATGTTCCTTCAATGAAATGCTATATCTCCCCTTATTTGGTGCTTCCAAAGTCAAACTGTTACTACAAAGAGGGTAACCGCATAACTTTGCTATCGACCTCTCAGTAACCACATCTTGATAGTCGCCACGAGACATAACCGATCCTGCAGCAAACAACTTATTTTCATCTTGAATACCTTCAAGAAGACAGTGTTGCAACCTGTAAACAGCATCTTTGACAGTGACATCTTCACCCTTTGCCATATTCAACACCTCCTGAAACAAAGAATACAATGATTAACATCCCCTGATAATGAAAGGCACACATTAAACTCCAGCTAGCACAATTCTGAGACAATCGAGTCTCATAAGAACAAGACAAAGGACGAAGGGATGATTCAACATAAAGCAGCAGCAACCGCTAAGGTTCTATACGATTATGGTGCAAGATATTTCCTACCACAATGAAAAGCATTAAACAATCAACAAATTCTTAAAATAATCAATTGAACCCAAACAACCCGGAATTTCAGGCTTTTTTTAATTTTATTTTTTCGTACTGGAAATCAACTATCGATAACAAATTAGGAAGCAACGACATTAAAGCCTAATCAAAACACAATTAAAAAATCATGTATAACGGGAGCTAAAACCTGAACCCGGACGAACAAAAAGTTTGAAAAAATATGATTGCAATTACATGCATAGGAGCTTAAACCACACAAATCCAAAGACGAATTCCAGGAGTAAAAAAAAAATCTCTTGGATTATACTGCCATTAATGAATATAGGTCCGTATTACCGTGCTATGAATGGATGAAGAACCAGAAGAATCACGGGAGATAGATTTTAGTTACTGCTGTGTCCAATTCCAGAAGGAAAAGATTAAACAAGGAGAAGGGTGGTCGGGTCGGTGACTTTGTAAGTTCGGAAATGGTCTTAGTGGGGTACTCGCTCCGGTGACGTTTCTTAAATTTCACCTAATATGTATTTTTTATTGTCAAAAAAAGTCTTAAAAAATTCCATAACAATTAAGAGAAGAAAATACGAGAAATATAAAAATATATTTTTAAGATTTTTTTGTCAATTAAAAATATGTATTAGGTGAAATCTAAGACGAATCAAAATATTTTATATTAAGGACCGGAAGGAGTATATTTTTTTTGAAAAGGGGAGGGAGTATATTCAATGGGCTTCTTACGCAGAAACAAGTTCTAACCCCCGGAATAACCATTGATAACAATCTCGTAGATGAAACAAATTTCGTTAATGCAACCATCAAACAAGAAAGTACGAATATTGTCTATCCCGTGAAACTCAAAAGAGTGCGGAAAATCCACAGTAAGACGATCGTTTATCTAAGAAATTTTATCTCTTAACTCAAACCCAGCAAAGAACACATTATCCATGAAAAATTCGAATTAAACAACAACCCACACTAAGAATAGTAAGGACACCATTCAATATACTCGATCAGTCATCATTCAAGAGACTCAAGAAAGGTAGGAGCAAACAATGCTCAACTATGAAGGAATACTATTGATTAGTAATATCCATAACCAACAAAGATATGCAACACATACACTATCTCAAAATGCTTATGCCTAAGCATAACTCATCCAACAAAAGTAGGACAAACCCCACAAAGGAACTCATGAACACACATCATGAATTCGAAAACCATAGACCAAAGAAAGATTCAACTCTCGAACTACTAGAAGTAGTATGAAAATAAGAAGTTTAGTTTTAAAACAATTCTATCAAAAAGCATACTTGAAAAGAACGGTTTCTGCAAGATCAAAAGATCCAAGATAATATGAAAACCCTCTTGGTTAAATCATACTTGACACAAAAAATGGACACACCATTTAACAAAAATTCTTCACAGGAAAAACTCTCAATAGAGAAGACTCAAAATGACCACACATGGATGCTTTAATTTTCGACCATCCTCCTCTATTTATAGGCTAACAATTTCAGCCAAAGCACCAAAAAAGAAGACCAACTAGGACTCTCTAATCTTGTCTCACGCAGGAGTAGAAGTAGAAGAATATTTGATCTCTTTGACTCTATCTAAAATCTAGGAAACCTTATCTAAATGATTTATCCTAAAATCGGATAATACTTAGAAGGAATCTAAGACTCCTAATCAAAACACTCTAGTTTAATTCAGTCCACATGACTTATTTAACTAGATAAAATTCGAAAATAACTCCTACACTAGATAATACTCTCATTCTCGAAAATCAGCTCCAAATATTGAAGTAAAATGTCTTGAACGCCCTTCTAAAAGTAGAATATTGGTCTTGCGCCCCTCAAGTTGTAGAAAACTCCAATTTACTCTAAAACTTGTAGAATTCTCTTTATTGACTCCAAAAGAATGGAGAAACACTTGAAACAATTGAGATAATTTGCACCTATCTAATTGTGTATCAATGGACTTACTCTTGAACACTTGATCAAATAGGCCGTCCATTCAAGAACCTAAATGATTCTTCTCTCTAGCTTGATCAATGATCTTCATGGAGCATCTAGAGTCAAACTCCCTTGAAACTCTTGAGCACTTATTTCCATGAGTGAATTATCTCCGTTTGAACCCCAAAGTTAATGACATTCTCATCATCTCGATCATAGCTCTCTTCAACCAACTCCCTATCACATAGATAGTCAAGATCCATCCTTTATTCCTTGATTGTCCTGCAAAGTAAACTTGGCATCCCAAAACTAGAATGAAGGACTAGCTCATTCCCCTCACTAGGAGAATCACCATGGAAGGCTATATGATTCTCATCAACCATGCTGCAGTAACTAACGTAGTGCCTCTTCATTCTAAATTAAGTATCGTATTAAAAAAAATTCGAAATAAGTGTTATTTTTCTAACTCTAATACACTTTTTATCTAAAATTTTCAAACTTACCCTCAAAAGAAATATTATCATTAAGAAGTATTTATTTTAATGGAGTTGGTTTATGATATTCTAGTAATCTACCTATCATATTTAAGTGTTTCTTAAATTGTAAATGCAAGTTGTTTAATGATTCTTATTTTGGATTGGAGGAAGTAGTATTTATTTTTTAGGAGAGAATTTTTTCTAAAAAACCCTACTCAATCAAATCTGGATGAGTAGGAACATGTGTGTGTTAAGTAGTAACAATGTGTGTGTTAAGATACTATGTAATGGAAAAAGTGTCAAATTAGTTATCAGCTTTCAACTAGACTACAATTTCATCATGATTAGGAGAATGTTAATCTTACAATTCTCTCATTCTATCATTCAATTAACTGATTTCGACCATTAACTTGGCCAAAGACTACCGAAAATTTTATTTTATTAACTTTCGGACCAAAGTGACACTTAATTAATTAACTAATTTTTTTAATTTTTAATTAATTAATTGAACTTTCTACAAGCTTAATTCATCATACGGACAACTCTAATTTTTACTAGTTTAAGTAATTAATTTATTTTTTTTACTTGTTTTATCTCTTATACTAGTTTTCTTTCTTCTTCTCTTCTCTATTTATCTCTTATTCTAATTTTTTCCTTTTTTTTTCCGAGTCCTTTTTTTAAATAAAAAAATTTATTTTTAATAATTTGATTGAGAGTTCAAAATCAATTCCAATAGAAGTAGAGATGCTCGTGTTTTGGCTAATCAAGTAACATAAAAGATGAGTTGCAAAATCCAAAAACATGGAATTAGGATTCTAACCAGAAGATTTCAATTTCTTTTTCTTAAGAAAATAAGCATAAATATCTTTTCAATTTTAAATAAGATTTGAAGTGTTTTATGATTTACAATTTGTAAGCAATTTGTAAACATCGAACTATACCTCTCTTTTGCATAAATATTTCATGTCATGGAATGACATAATGTCAAATTAGATTTTTGTGGGAAAAAAAAATCTTTTCTCACTTAGTTCTATTTTTATTTCCACGTTGTTGTAACAAGGATTACAAAAATATGACAAAAGGAAAAAAAAAAACTTTTGGGCCAGTTTCTCTCTTTAAATTTAAACAAGTGATATTTGACTAACATATGTTATCATGCTCATATTGTGTTAAATTGTAGCACGTAAGTGCGTTTGATCCATCTAGTAAAATTGTAAAAATTAAGTATCATATGAACATCACATAATTATTTATTTAAGTGATTATGAGATTTCGATTAAGGTTATTGATGGTGTGTAAATATATTTATTACTATACTCATTAGATTAGATCAGATTATGACTCAATAATTATTACATTTTCCGTCTTAAATGATGGTTCAGTTTACTTTTTTTTTTAATGTACTATAATTATTAAAAGTGAATTTTTTTTTAACTCAACAATCATTTCAGGACATAAAGAAATACATTAGTAAAAGATTTGTGGTGTTTATGCTTTTACCAGTACAACAATAAAAGTTCATTTACTCTATTCTTAAAATATTTAGGTGGTATTTGCATAACGTTTTGTTTTAGTTTTTTTATTAAGATTTGGGAGGAGATTTAAAATGTAGTTTGGTTTTTGATTTGAGAAGTATTATAGTATAGTGACCATTTATGAAATTAAGTGACCAAAATAAAAATTTTACAATAATATAATGGTCAAACGCAAGACTTTACAATATTTCAGTGACCAAAATGAAGATTTTACAATAGTAATAACAAAACGTAATATTTTAAAAGGTAAATTAAACTGTGGTTTGGATAGTGTATTGAGTTTTATCCAACATTTTAAAATAAAATAACAAGTAAAATAAGAGGTTGGACAAATAAGACTCTGTTCCAAAATATATTTTTAGTTTAATTCGTAAAAAAACTGAAATTTCAAATTGAACAGTAATTTGGGGAGTAATTTGGGGAGGGGAGGAAATATAAGTTAGCCAGTTAATTAGTTTACTGTTACATCGAGGATGCCAGCATGTGCTAAAACAAATCAGCATGTGTACTTACAGAGTCAGTCAACTCTTAAGGAAAAGATTCTCCGCAGAATTAATCAGTAATCATTGCTCATAACAGTGACCAATTTCTACCACATACACCTAAACCATATTTCTTCTATATTCAGAATCTTTCTTTTCTTTTGCAAATTGCAAGGATATACTTAGCAGGTCCCTTTTCCTTCTTTAAACCGTCTCTTTCTCTGTGAGTTTTCTCTGTTTTTTCTTTTCTACAGGGCTTTTCTTCTTCTTCTTCTTCTGTTTTTTTTTTTTTTTTTGATTAAGTTTATTCGGATTAAATTTATATACACAGCTGTAAATAATGCCGAAGCATGGAATATAACTTCTATGAATTTGATTGTTTCTTGATGTTTGCTGGCTAAGAGAGCAGGTTTTTTTATTATAATTTGATAAGTTCTATTCATAAAGTAGTTTTGGTTTGCCACTATAAAATTGGGTTATTCTATATTTCCAGTGAAAAGCAATGATGGGATTAATCTTGTTTTCCTTTATGTTGTGTCTGACTGAATTAAAGTACAGATGTTGATAGATTTAGGCTGAGTTCATGTTTGGATTGCCAACGGATATATACATGATCAGGCCCTTATTGGATTCATCTTTCGGAATTCATTTGGGGAAAGAGTACATTACTGGCAGTGGGACATGTAGTACTGAAGTATTGTGTTTTTTTTTTTTTTTTTGTTGGCTTAGTTGCTGTTTCTTCTGATAGAGTTATAGAGAATTATCCCCTAATTGTGTAAATTTGTGCACTCATGTTAACGACTGGCTATCTGAGAGAAGCAGAAGAACTCCTTGTTATTGCGACAATCAAGAAAAATCCTGTTTGTATGAATCAGTTTCAGAAGTCACTGTAGAGTATGTTTTCCAGTTTGATTGGAAGTCAAATAAGCTGGAAGGCTAAAGCCAGGCTCTTCCCTTCCAGAAATATGTTCTGCTCTTCTTTCGTTTGTCAATGGGGGCTTGCTATAATATAGAAAATGCTCACAGTAGAAACGGATAGAGTTTATAGTTAGCTCGTTTCGTTATATTTGTCGGGTTTTCTCGATACCAGCAATTGCGCATATGGCTCCAGAATTCGCCTTTTAGCCTTAAACTATAATCTAGCCTTTTTTTTTGCTGGTTTAATTAGTTCTTCACAAGTAATTGGAGAAAAGGGAAAAGCTCAATGGAGAAAGAGAAAATTGGAAGAAAATGTTATGGAAGGAAACTTGAGCTAGATATTTTACACATTGTAGTACTTGTCAATTTTCTTTTTCCCTCCTAGATATTATGTTCCCATTTTGTTAAAATTTCTGTGTGAATGCATGGATATCAGTGCCCTGTTGAAGAATCAGGTTACTTTACAGTGTTGATGATTTGAAACTTTGTATTGGCAGGATTTATCTGATTTGTTTCAGAATCCATCTTTTTTATTAGGAGTCTTGTTCTTGTTGTGTGTTGGTTAATCCTTAGTTTGTTAGGAACATGTTGTGTTTCTTACTCCAGACGATGGAAGTCTCTAGGAAAAATTGTTTTGGGAGTAGATATGGAACTCTTGGAGTATTTATATCCTCAATTTATTGCATCCTGTTAGTTTCTTTTGGTTGTTTTCTTCATCCTTATGTCTTCTTGGCTGTAGGATATTAACTTAAACATGCTATTCTTGGGAAATGGCTACAATGAATGGAGCATGATATGTGAGGGATATTATTATCACAAAAGTGAGGATGAATGACGGGTCCACTTGATAAGTATTATTATAAATATGTAAAAAGTGTAGCGAAAGCGGTGTAGTGATGTTGAAATCACTTTATCTGTTGGGTCGAAGTCTGAGTTGCCTTGAATCAATAGTCAACACCATTTGTCCATCTGGATTTAAGAATTTGATGAATATTTATTGACCGGCTTTTAGGAGTCAAAAGTTGTTAACCCTGAATGTAGTTATTTTTCTAGTTTTGTTGTATGATATTGTTGCTCCTTTTTGGTGGTTGTATGTTTCTTTATAAGAAATTTCCCTTGCTTAAAAGCGCACAATCATTTGGCAGAACACCCGAGTATTTGGCAATGAGTTACATGGAGTGTTCCTTGTTTGGGTTATTTATGGAACTTTACAAAAGCTTTGGTGGCTACTTGGACAACTTTAGTTGATTTAGACTCATTTCTTCTGATTATTCTTGAGGCATATGATCAAAATCTTGCAGCTCATTTTCACTACAAATGCTCGCAGATTGATACTTTGTAAATTGGTTTCTTATTCGGTGAAAATTGACAGTTGTTTATGATTCAAAATTTAGCACCTTCACACCACACTAATGGCTTATGAGCATCGCAATTTACTGACTTTGATCAATTTAGAGCCTCTAGTTCTCCTGTACTCTCTTGAGATATGGCTAATTTCTTTTAGTTAAATTGTTGGAGAAGATTCAAAATTCTATGCCTTATTCAGGTACGCCTGTCTTTTCTTTTTCAGTCAGGAGTTACAATCCTTGAATAATGGGAAATAGTGAATCAACATCAGGTGATGCTTATCGAAATACTCAACCTGAACTACACTCTGCATACCCAAGAAGTTCAGTTGCCTCTAACTTTAGACAGCAAAATCCAGTATTCACGGACGCCAATCATCGGTATCAAACCCCTGCTGGAAGCTCATTGGATACTGACTACCACAGGAAGAATCGGCCTACATACATAGCTGATAACTTTAATTCCTTGGATGAGGTATTGTTGTTTGGCAATGTTATCATATCTTGTTGTACAACTCAAGTTCTGTGTGTTGATTGATTAATACATTATTCCCATTATATATTTACTAAAGTTCTACGTTTAATTTCAGTTCTCTGCATCTCTAAATGAATGCAATTAGAATTCGAAACTGATGTTTGCTTTCATTTTAGGAACTTATTGAAGTCTTTATGTTTTCCAGGTCATTGCTGCACTACGAGAAGCAGGCCTTGAATCATCAAACTTAATTCTTGGAATTGATTTTACGAAGAGCAATGAATGGACAGGTACGGTTGCCAGAGATGGCTCTTTAACTTCATAATGAATCCAATAGATGGATATGTGATGATCTGATGTTGCTAGGAAAGTACTCATTCAATAGAAGAAGCCTTCATACAATTGGCAGCACCCCTAATCCATATCAGCAGGCCATCTCTATCATTGGGCGTACTTTAACACCTTTCGATGAAGATAACTTAATTCCTTGCTTTGGATTTGGCGACGGTAAGTTTTCTTTGTAGCAAGTTATTAACTTTAATGTACCAACTCTTACTGAATTTAATACAATTTCATCAATCTGACAGCGTCTACACATGATCAGTATGTATTTAGCTTTTACCCAGACCACCGACCTTGCCAAGGATTTGAAGAAGCTCTTGCTAGATATAAGGAGATTGTCCCTCATCTGAAGTTAGCAGGTTGCCTGAGTTTTGTGCTTTATAAGTATCATTAATCAAAACAGCATTTTGTTAATAGGGGTAGGTGAAGATGATTTCTGATGTCTACAGCATTTGATTCACTCCTAAATAATTGATCAAAGTTGTACATTGCATCTAAGATTGGAGTTTTGCCTTCGTCAACAAATTTTATTTAGTAGACAGTAGACTGATCGATTTTAATGGTTTAGGATGCGTCGCTGATGCAAACCTTGCTCTTTTTTTAATGATTGTCTTTGTGGTCAGCTGGCTTTTTCTTTTCCTTTTTTTTTAATGTGAAATAGTAGACTGCATAATTTTAACACTATCCAGTGGACTGCGTGTTTTTTTACAGTAGACCGCATGATTTTAACAGTTTACATAGTTTTTGTCAGAAAATTTCACGTGCTCTGTCAGAAAATATGGACACTATCCAAATATTGAAAACTTAGACTACCCACGTCTTATGGGACAATATCAAAGTTGTAAAACATTACACTTTAGAATGAAGTCTTGTAGAATGTCGATTATTTAATTGCTTTCATATACATTTTAGGCCTGATTTTTCCCTGATAGTTTCTGACTAGGATAGGATTCTTGTTGCTTCATCAGATTTTTTGAAAATTCTTAACTGACCTTCTTTTTGTGGATTTGTATTCTGTTTGCACTTGAGTGCTCATACACCTATGTACTTTAATATTTAGAAAGCATTTTCTTTCTTCGAGGAGGGAAAAAAGATGAAAGGGAGATTTCGGGAATCCTCATTCTGGTTTTGTTAATTGGTAAGCAGAAGGTGGCTTCCAGAGTTTTTTGTTCTGGAATTTTAGGATTTTAAGCTTAGAAAAATGGGAAAATGAAATAAGAGATGGTTTGCACTAGGTTCTCTTTACTTTGTTCTGCCTCAGTCTAATTTGGAATTAGATATTGTGTGGGGTATGGTGGTTTTCAAAAAGGCTAGAATCTACGTAATGAACTTCTCGGTTAGCACAGTTTCGCAATTGAATCTTGATAGATAAAATGTTTTTCCACAGGAATTAAACTAAAATCATTGTTTGAAGCAGTTATAGGGAAAGAAACGTCAAACAAAAAACTTGAAAGTTTGTCTAAAATTTGGAGTCACAACTTGGGGTTTTGTGCAGTAGGGCACAGATACATCTATTTGTCATTTCTCATGATAGATGTTCTTTTTTCTTATGCCACTTAACAAGTTCCTTCTAAGAGTATACTGATTCTAGATCTGGAAACTGGAATCTCCCATGGTCCAGTTCTTGGTGTCTAGTTTCAGTCAAGTTCTGGTTTCTGAACTAAATTTTCAGAACGGCGATCCCTCAGTTACTGCTTCACAGGCTTCTTTTACTGTGAGTAGAAACATGAACGTCTTTGTGATGTTTGGTTTCATGGAATTGGCAGCCCATGAAATGATCCAAGAATTTTCTGACTGCTATTATTAGGTACATTGTATGTCATTAGCAAGCTGAACACTGAGCCCAATCTCGTTAGTTCTATCAGTTGTGCTTCTTGGTGTAGTTTGAACAGTAGGTCTTGATTCTCAGGAGCAGTCAAACCAATAATAGAAGTCGCCTCAGTTGGGCTTAGGTGATGTCCTGATGTTACAGAACCTTGGTTGTTGAAGGTTTATCCCATCGATCCGCTGGGTTCAAAAATAAAACTTGCTCTAGTACCATCTATACTCAGAAAATAAGTTCTTTTACGATTAGTTTCTAAATGTGCAGCATAAGGTTAATTAAAAGAAAGCTACAGAAAGGAAATCTCCCACCATAATCAGCAGCAACTAATCCGCATTTGCTTCTTTTCTTTTTGGTTTTCTATATTTGTTTCCAATAGTCTTGTTCAATGTTCATTTTTTCTTAATCTGTTCAAGTCTTACTGAATAAGGCCTTACACAATTAAAATAGATGATACTCAGATTGCTGTGGTGGTAAAATCTTCCTCTAGTCATAATTACAGGTATTGTAGGTTGTTTTAATCAAGATAATTAAAGAAAAACTAACAACCTGACTACATGTCTTGATTCTCGTGCATATTGTATTTCTGTTTCCCGTGTCTTGTTCTGTATTTTATTTTCACTGGATTGGCAGCCAGCACTAAATATTGCCATCTCTTGAATTGGTGTTGAAAATTATTGGCTACTATTGCGATTGTCGTGATGGACAAGTTCGACTATTTTGTTATTTTGAAAATGAAAAGCTTCTCTTGGTAATACTTGAGCACCAAATCTTAGAAAGAAATATATCTTTCTGATATGAGACGTACGATGAAGTATTCTATGATTTGCATTATTTAGAATTAGCATTGATGTTTTACCATGGATATCCTGATGGTCATGACCAGGTCCAACATCATTTGCCCCAATCATTGATTGCGCAATTGATATTGTTGAAAGAAGCAATGGGCAATACCATGTCCTAGTTATAATTGCAGATGGCCAGGTGCATATCATTATCATCTATTTTAAATGTTTTCCAAAAGTTCCCTTTTTAATATCCATATGATTTTCTTGTTGCATAAACTAGGTCACAAGGAGTTCTGGTATACCCAATGGAAAGCTTAGTCCACAAGAGCAAGCAACTATTGATTCTATTGTTGCTGCAAGGTAATGACTACCCTTTTTGAATTTTAGCTTTTCAAGACGCATCTAATTTACTATTTGATGCCAGTGAATATCCTCTTTCAATTATTCTTGTGGGTGTTGGAGATGGACCATGGGATGAAATGCAACACTTTGATGACAACATTCGTCAACGTTCATTCGACAATTTCCAGGTTCACACTTGTGAAAACAAGTCTAGTCCACACTGAATTTAGTTTACTAGATTTGACAAATGTTCCCTCTGCTGCCTTTTGACTATATTGATCCTCTTTTTGCATTACAACGAAGGTGCTAGTATTCAATTCTTTTGATTTTCTAGTTCCTCATTGTGTACCTTAAACAATGAGTTCCATAGTGAATGGAGAAGTCACCTCAGCAAGCTTTATATTTGATCACTCTCTATGCTCCAAAAAGGAGTTCACTATTGTGTGTTTGCACTTTGCTTCGAGTTTTACAGGGCTCTATTTTATGCATCACTTTTTTCTTTTTTGCGAACCACAAATGATCATATTAGTTTTGGTGTTTAATGGAAAGAAATGAAGTTGAACCCTTTTTCTGGGACAAAGAAACACATTTTGAAAGTGGGCTTCTACTGAATGGAGGAATATTTGCTTTACATTGAACCTTGAACATTTTATTGTTTACTTTATCTTATCGTACACATTTATGTCAACATCAATAATGAGAAATTGTTTCTTAGTTGCCAGACGCTTTTTCTGCCTGGTATCATTGATCACCCAACTCTTTATTTCCGTTGAATGAAGATTATGTTGACCATTTGAATTTGTTCATTATAAATATATGAGCATGCATTTTTCCCGTGTTGTTAGTGATACAAAATTTGGAATGCTTGTTGAGCAACACATGTTTTCAGCTGTCAGGAGCCGCCTTCTAGTATACAGCCAAAAAGATAGAATACTAACAAACTTAACAGTGGAAACTGAGAGCACCTTGCAGGGTGTAACAGTCAATGTGATTTAACCTAGAAAGAATCCAAAATATGACAGCGATTGTCTACACCACACTGCCAAAGAGATAAGAACATTTTGAATTTACATTATAAATTGTAAGCCACAATCAAGAGAATGAGGAGAGAACATTACATAATCATCCACTTTCAAATTATTTGTGTGTGGAAGATCTGCAGTGTTTTCTTCTTAAAATCCTGGAGTCTATACACTTTGGTTTTATTCCTACTTTATCATGAATTTACATCATAATTATAAGTCTCAGTTTCTAAATCTAAAACTTTTGTAACTGTAATTTTCTTTATCACAGATTTTCCTGTATTGAATCGTGTGCTGCATCATTTTAAATCATGTGCAGCAGTAGGGATGTGCGTAGAAAATTACAGAGATTTAAGTGTACTTTGAGAATTTTCTGGTCTATGAAACAAAAGTTATGACATGTTTGCTGAACTTTTTTTTTTTTCTTTTTTGTTTTGACAACCTGCAGTTTGTAAACTTCACAAAAGTCATGTCTGAAAATAAAGATATGGCAAAAAGAGAAACATCATTTGCATTGGCTGCCCTGATGGAAGTTCCATTCCAGTACAGAGCCGCACTAAACCTACCATATAAAGCGTAAGGCCTACAGGTTATTATGCTTCAAATTTGTTCAAGAGTACTCTATAAATCTTAATCTGTACCCATTTCCTGGTAGGAAATCTGGATGTACTAGAGCAAAGGCACTCCCTCCTCCTCGTGAAGTGATAGATCATGATAATGCTGTTAAGACAGTTCCTCCTACAAACTTTGAACCATCAGACCAGGGATTCCCGGCTGATCAAGTAACTCTATTTAGTGTCACCGGTTGCTGTTAATAGTCTTATGATAATTTTCTAAAATAGCTTTTTTTTTTGGCATTGTAAGGTCTGCCCAATATGCATGACAAATCCAAAGGATATGGCTTTTGGATGTGGTCATCTGGTATGTTTCCAAATCAAATATGCTTGTGATATGTATTGCTTAAAGCTTTGGACCTGCACCTTGTGGTATCTTTTCTGAGGATCATTGAAATAATCTCGGACATAATGCATCTGTTAGAACGGATATTATGACATCATGCAAAATGATCATTGTTGTGGACAGTAGTTCTACACTACGAAACCATATTAGGTGTGCGACATTGTGGCCAAACTAATGGAGATCATTCTAAGCACTGAAGATAGTTTACCATTGCCAGCACAACTTTTTTGCTACTTCATGTTTGTCTTTTCCCTGACAAAACAATCTCTTTAGTCTGACAGGCTACATACTGCATTTGTTCCATTTTCTTATCCTCCTTCCAATTTGGTCAATCTCTTTCTTTCCTATGCACTGTCAATCGATTCTGTGATTGAATGCCACTACCCTAACTATTTCGAGCCCTGGATATGTCTTGTGAAAGTAAGTTTTGTTGATCTTTCATTCCATCTTCGAGTTTCCGGAGATTAAAATAGCATGTGGTGTATAAATTCTGGAAGCAAGCATGATTCTGTATAACTAAATGTTGAAAACTAAGCATCTCTTCTCTCGGGTGTGGGTTTGTGATTGTTTGGGTTAGACTTTACTCTTTTTCATCGCTCTCTCGTGTTTATTTATTTATTTATTTTGCTTGTATTTTTCTTTGTGGTAAACTAGGGCACGTGACCAGTTGATTGATCTTAAATGATTTTTTCAGCCTGTATTAATTATATCATATTACTCATTAGAGGTACAATAGCATGAATTTTTTTTTTTTTTTTGCATCCTGATAATTCAATCTAGTACATCTAGCTCTCATCAGTATAGAGCGAAGCCGTTTGTTGTTGTGCATTGTCTGCTTCGGGAAACAGTTTTTGCAGCTTTTATCTAGGATCTCAAGTATCTTTTAGCTGTTGTCTCCATGTGTCTATCTTCACATTGACCTTGTGAGATTGCATTGATCTTCAGCTTTGTGCAAGAAATGTATTGTTTGAAAGATCAAATGTGAATGAATAGTAACTATGTATATGCTTGAGGCCAGTGGATGTGATCACAGTAGAGATGATTGGTTTACAGATCAGCAGTATCACCCTGCAGATTTCTACTTTTGATTCTTTGTTTATTTTGAACATGAACAGACATGCAAGGATTGTGGTGCCTCCTTGTCAACATGCCCAATGTGTCGACAATCCATTACGACTCGAATTAGACTATATGGATGAAAGATGAAATATTCCGTGGCCATCATTTCAAGGTTTCCATTTGAAATTCCAGATTTGTACAGCAAGGGTGTGTAAAATGGAAAAGCCCTATGTGTATCAGGTTTTTTGTATATGCGTGTGCGTTGTGCAGTTTTTTTTTTTTGGTTTTCTTTTTAATATTTCATTTCAAATTATTTCTCGAAATATAAAATAATACTCCCACCGTCCCATAATTATTGTCCACTTTGCCCAAAAAATTTTGTCCCAAAATTATTGTCCAATTTGACTTTTCATGGATCAAGTTACACATTTGTCCTTAATAAAAAAATTATCCATTAAAATCTTTGTGGTTAAACAATTACTTATGTATATCCTGTTGTTCAAGGTAAAATATAATTAAATTTGACTAAAAATAAAATTTTTCATTTTAGTAAAACTGAACAATAATTATGGAACGAAGGGAGTATGATTTGCAATTGTGTTATGATTTTCTTCGTTTGATATTGGTGGCATAGAGATGCAACGCAAGTGTATCAAAGTTACAGTAAAATTTTCAGAAATTAATTCTCTATTAATTAATAATTTCTATTAAGTAATATTTTTTTTCGGTCCTAACTTGGAACCAGTATAAAAAATGGAAAAAGTCTTTATAAGGTAACAATTTTTCACGAATCTCCATTTATAAGATAACAATATGTTTGCATTCACAATTTATAAGATAACAATTTTTATAAGATAACAATATCTTTATAAGGTAACAATTTTTCACAATTTATAAGATAACAATATGTTTGCATTCACATCATTTGGAGCACATTATGATAGGAATTTGGCAAGAAGCGATCATGGCATTTATACTTTTCGTGTACAGGGCCAGCTTTACCATTTTATAGATAAAATAATACCACCGTCTGGAAAAAAACCTCAAAATCTTCAACTTTACTTTTATGATACAGATCATGAACTTGAAAATCGTTTATCAATTGATTTAAAGTTTCGTGAATCTATTGTGGCAAAACTTCTTCAGATCACTAATGATAATTCTTATGCTATTTTTTTGCGGAACCTTAGTGGCAATAGTCTTGATGGAGCAAGAATTGTTTTACAAACAGACCCACCTTTAGATCAACATGTATTTAATAAACCCGCTTCATCTCAAGTTGCTGGAATGTGGTTGGAACCTAATGATGAACAGCTTCCTAAAAAACAACACATTCAAATTTATCCAAAAGAGGAAAATGCCCATCCACAGTTGATTAATTCTTACTTTGGTTGTTATGATCCTTTACAGTATCCTCTTATATTTTCTTATGGAGATCCTGGTTGGCATCGAAATATATTTCGTTTAAATAAAGATAAAGAACAGCCAGGTTCTATACAAACATGTGATGGTGAGAGCTTTTATCATATTCAGAATTTTACAGATCTTTAAAACTTTTTGGAAGTTGAAAATGAACGTTCAAATAATCGAAACAAGAAAAGGAAAAATGTTTCATGTCGTGAATATTATTGTTATAAGTTAAAAATTAGGGATGTTGATGAGTCATTTTTGTTACATGTTGGTAGGCTTTTACAACAATATGTTATAGATATGTATATTAAAATTGAAACTTCACGTTTACATTTTTTACGAAGTAATGAGATGCAGAATCATTTGCGTAATGGAATATATAGTAATGTACTTGATAGTATGGCCCAAGGATATAAGAAAGGTGATGAAATTGGAAAATGTGTAATATTACCAACATCCTTTATTGGAAGACCCAGAGATATGCATAAAAGGTATATGGATGCTGTAGCTTTAGTTCAACGATATGGAAAACCTGATATTTTTTTGACAATTACTTGTAATCCAAATTGGCAAGAAATTAAAGTTTTATCTTTGTCCACTGATGAGGCACAAAACAGGCCTGATTTAATAGCCAGAATATTCTGAGCAAAACTTATAGTTTTGAAAAATGAATTATTTAAAGAGAATATTTTTGGTAATGTTATTGCATATACTTATGTTATTGAATATCAAAAAAGAGGTCTGCCACATGCACATTTTTTTACTTATTCTTGATGAAACATCAAAAATATATTCTCCGGAAGCAATTGATAGGATTGTTTGTGCTGAAATTCCTGATCCTAAAAGAAACAAATATTTGTTTGATGTGGTAAAAAACAACATGATGCATGGCCCTTGTGGTAAACTTGATGAAACTTGTCCTTGCATGAAACAAAATATTGGCTGCAAATTTAAGTATCCTAAAGAATTCTCAGAAGTCACTAGATTTGGTATAGATTCTTATCCGATTTATCGGCGGCGAGAAAATAGTTATTCAGTTAATATAAGAAATTCAGTACTTGATAACCGATGGGTTATACCTTATAATCCCTATTTAGTTGCTAAATTTAATTGTCATATTAATGTTGAGATATGTTCAACTATTTTAGCTATAAAATATTTATACAAATACATTTATAAAGGACATGATAAAATTGTATATGCTTTAGTTTCAAACAAAAATGAATATAGTAATAAAGAAACGATTGTTGATGAGATTACTAATTTTGTTCAAGCTAGATGGATTTCTGCTCCAGAAGCAGTTTGGCGGATTTTCGAATTTGAACTTAATCATACGTATCCTTCTGTCATATCGCCTCCAATTCATTTAGAAAATAAACAATCTGTAACATTTCCTACACATCAATCACTTACTGATATTGTTAATAATCCGACATTAAAAGCAACCAAATTAACCCAATTTTTTTTCATGAATAGACATGATAATTATGCCATACATAAAAAATGCCTCTATGTTGAATTTCCTGAATACTTTGTTTGGGATAAAAAATCAAAACAGTGGCATAAACGTAAACAAGGTGATGTAATTGGCCGCATTTTACCCTGTCAGCCTTCTGAAGGTGAAAGATTCTATTTAAGGTTGTTATTAAAATATATTAGAGGTCCGACTTCTTTTAAATATTTAAGAACAGTTAATGGAAACACTTTTGATACATATAGAGAGGCAGTATTTGCATTGGGATTAATGGAAGAAGATAGTACTAGCGAGACATGTCTTTAAGAAGGTGTGGCTTACTTAATGCCTACTGCTCTTAGACAATTGTTCACTACTGTACTTGTGTTTTGCAATCCTAAAAATCCTCAAGAACTATGGTTAAAATACAAAGATATGCTTTCAGAAGATTTTAATCAAAATGTATCCATTGATAGGAATGAAGTGACATAAAAACTTGCAAATATTATAACTTACTATCTTTATTTAATGACTAAAAAGCCTCAAAATTATTCTTTTTTAACTAATAATTCACAAAGAAACTTCAAAGATGACCTAGCAAAGGAATTACGTGCTGAATTGGATGTAATAGTACCAGATGAGGATATTTTAGCTATTACACAATTAAATAACGAGCAGAGGACTGCTTATGATTGTATTGTGTATCATGTAAATAATAATATACCTAAAGTTTTTTTTGTAGATGGTCCTGGAGGTACATGGAAAACTTTTCTATACAAAGCACTTTTAGCAACTATAAGATCTAATAAACAGATTGTACTTGCTACAACTACTTCAGGTGTGGTAGCATCTTTACTTCCAGGCGGCCGTACATCACATTCAAGATTTGACATACCTTTAGATATTAGTGATTCTAAATCTTGTAGGGTAAAAGCACATTAGCTTACTTATTAAGAATGGCAAAATTGATTATCTGGGATGAGGCCACAATGGCAAAACGTACATTAATAGAAAAATTCGATGAAATGCTAAGAGATATAATTAATCCAAACAAAATATTTGGTGGTAAAATCATTGTTTTTGGTGGTGATTTTCGTCAGACATTACCAGTTATTCTTAAAGGTACAAAGGATGATATGATTGATGCTTCTATTGTTATGTCACCTTTATGGAATCAATTTGAAAAACTAAAACTCTCTCTTAATATGCGTGCATTACATGATCCTTTATTTTCACAATATTTGCTACAAATCAGAAATGGTATTGAAAAATTGAATGAAAAAGGAGAAATTAAAATTCCATCAAAGATTAATATTTATTTTCAGGATGATATTACATCATTACATGCATTGATAGATGCGGTATTTTGAAATATTAATATTATCTCTGATAACTTATTTTTTGTAAAACGGGCTATACTTACTACGAGAAATGAATTTTTTGAGGAAATTAATAATGTTTTAATTGACAAATTTCCAGGAGAACCTACTATGTACCTAAGTTTTGATGAAAGTGTAAATTTTTCGAAATTACCAAACCAAGATGAAATTTTTCATTCATTGACACCAAAAGGTTTTCCTCCTCACAAATTAATATTGAAAAAAAATGCACCGATAATACTTCTTAGAAATATAAACCCAGCCGAAGGACTTTGTAATGGTACTCGCCTTATTTGTAAAGAATTTAATCGAAATATTATTTATGCAGAAATTTCAGTTGGTCCGCATAAAGGAAAACCCGTTTTTATTCCACGAATAACATTAGAGGCACTAGAGGGTATTCCTTCATCTATCCCATTTAAAAGAAAACAATTTCCTATAAGATTATGTTTTGCAATGACAATTAATAAAGCTCAAGGTCAAACTCTAGATTTTGTTGGTATTTATTTGAAAGAACTAGTTTTTTCACATGGTCAACTTTATGTTGCATTATCAAGAGCTAAAACAATTGATCAACTAAAAGTACTTATCAGACCAGTGACACCATTGATACAAAATACTGAATATACAAAAAATGTTTTTTATGATGAAGTATTGTAGGCGGCTGGTATAAAATCGGAGTTGTATTCTCAATTATAATAACCTAAATAACTAAATATTTACTGTATTTATATTATACTAATTACTGCATATATCATGAAGAGTAACTCTTACCTATACGTCATTTCTCTAAAGTTCAATCGTTATCTCATTAATCTTTTGATTTTTTCCTGATTAAACATAGCTTCTTATTTAATTATATATCTATTCCGTAAAATATATGTTTCCATTATGGAGCTGTATGAAGACAATAGCAGGTAAACAAAGGTACTGTAAAAAAATCATTTGAATAGAGAAACTTAGTTATTCATCTGGTATTGCATTTTTTTCAATCTGTCACTTTCCATTTTCTTCATTGAATCTTAAAATTTGTAGTGGTGGTACTGTTGTGTGTTTTAATTTAGGATTTCATTTAAAACCCAAGAAAAGAAAAGGTTCTTTAGGCTGATTGAGTTAGATTATGAGATTGATGGAATGGAATTGTGGAAGAAATTAAATAGGAATTGTATTCCTGATAGTCCAAAGAAAGGACAAAGAATAAAAATGGAATCTGATAATGGAGGTGACAATTTCTTTGATACAACCACTGCTAAGGTTAAAGTGTAGCCTTACCATTTGGTTGTCATAACCAATGGTCTTGCTAGAAGGTAAAATACATAATTTTTACCATCTGCGGTTACTTCTCTGTTCTTATTATTCCTTAATTTTTACTATTTATATGTTTCTGCTTGAAGGAAAAAGTTTGATTTTTTGGAAAATCAGGAACTAGACATTATTTGGCATTTTAGATGACTAAAGGTTGATAGAAAGTGACATTAGACTTGCATAACAGGGATAATTCGGAACCTTTTATGAAATATGAAGATTTTTGTTGTATTCATCTTGGTGAACATAAAAACTTACCAATTTAGTGTTGTTGTTCAATACTGTAAATTACATATATATACTGCTGAGCAGCTTATAAAAATGCTTCTTGATAGAAAGGTAAAATAATTGCATACTGGGATTAGAAATGTAGGGGTCCTTACCAAACGTAATCGAAAAAGAAATTCTTAATTTATACCCAAAAATAAAAATCGATTATATCAAGGTTGTCCTTGGCACTGTTGTCAAGATAAATATTTATGGACCTTACATTGAGCATGTGATTGGAATATAGAAAACTTGTTTAATTATTCACATATATTCATCTAGATACCAGACAAAAACATTGTTGCTGGTTAGTGGTATCAGTTTTTGTGAATTACTTGATAGAAATCCTAGAATTGCTATAGAATCTTATTGTATGCGCTCTATAAACCTTTTTTTTTTAAGCAGCATAACGGCTCTACACATTTAATTCCGTGTGCATCTATTTCTTGGTATTTCTTTTCAGTAGCCAAGTTTTCTACACCAAACAACGCCCACAGAGTCATCTTAAAATCCAGATAAGCAAAACAAATTCAACAACATCAGAGATTAGGAAGGAAGAGCAAGAATTTAAAATGGTGCACTCCCCATTGATCACCTATACGTGTCCTTTCTTTCCTCTCATTTTCAGATCAACCTTTCAAGAACAAACCAAATCAGTTAAAAAAATTTAATCTTTATTAATTTTAATCCTTTTATTTTTTCAGATGGTGCACCATGGTACACGTTGATAGATCTGTCTTGCAGACCTTCAATTACTTGAAGAACAATGGTATCCAGGGTCTCCTTCTAATTTGGTTCAAACCTACGAGTCTTATTGCTTGAAAGATCATAACTGTTTATGCTACTTTCGAGGTTATATTACAGCTCTTTCTTGCTGACAAAACTGTTAAAAGCCCCATTTTTCCAACTGGTAATAGGTCTGTTTACAAAGTTAATAAAACACCTTTCTTATGTTATTTCTTTTTTAGTGAAAGTATTAGCTTTTTTTGTTTTTTAATGCATGCATTTTTCTTTTTCTTTTCTTTTTGTTTTCATAGTTAGTAGTGTAATATATTCTTTAGTTTTAATATACCCGTATTATATTTTTAGGATGTAAATGTCAAAAAAGTTTTGATTGGCTGCCTAGCAATAGTACTTCATTTGTCTCAGCTTTGATCTCTTCTTGCTTCTCATTGTTTATTACCTGTAAAATTTATTTACAATTTGGTTAGTTTTTCCTTGTTATTGGAATCTCTTTTTGATTCTCATTATTTATCTTTAAAATGCGTTTGGACTTTTAGCGCTCAGGCTTTCTTAGTTCATAGACTGAAGGTCTATCTATCATGGTTCCTTAGGAAATTATGACGCTTGCTTATTGTTAGTACGCTTGCTTATTGTTATTATTATTATTTTCAGTTATATAAAAATGTGATCTTGAAAACTCGTTTGTTGGATTTCTTTTTTTCTATTGTATCTGAATGATATGATTGTAATCTTTGTCATGCCCATCTTTTTTATTGTCCAAGTATAAAAATTAACCGATGGTCCTGTTTTCTTACCTTTGTGCTCATTTTCAGGTTTGAGATATTCAATTCTGTGCTTGTGTATGATCATCTGGAAGAAATATTTTCGGCTTTGATTTTTGGTAGCTTAGTGTTTTGTCTGCTCTTGCACATAAAAGTGATTGATCCAGTCATTAGATTTTCTATTACATATAGTATAATTTCAGTGCTCTAAACCCTTCTGATTATGTATTTAAGAGTCATATTGCTCCATCTTCCACTGATTCTGGATCATTTAGAAACATTATAATTGATTTTTATTGGGTAACAATCATTGGGCCTTAATACTCACGTAAAATTTATTTTACCCTTCTAACATCTCTTTCTTTTCACTGTTGTGTAGCATGGCAACCATTTATGTTTCAGTTTTTCCACCTATTTTTTTTTCTTATGGTTATGATGCATTTTAGGAAATAAATGACGTGATATGTATTGAGCAATCTCATTCAATGTATTAATTTTTGCAGGAAATGGAATTGTACCCTAGAATTGGTAAGAATGCTGACATAAAAGTCTTTACTTACTGCAAATTCAGGATGATGTCCTTGGCAGTTCTTGCTTTGATATATTACATTAAACAAGTATCTTTTAATTGCAATTTCCGTCAGAATACTACAATTATTATTGAGCCCTGGAAGCCCTTTTTTTTTCTTTTTCTTTTAATGTTTGTGTTCCACCCGAACATGCAGTATGAAATCCAAGGCAGAATTGCTGATTCAATGCTTGTAAATACCGTATTGATGTTGGTGTATGTCACTGAGTTTCTCCGGTGGGAAGCTGGATACCAAAATACTGTGGAGTGCCAGACATAAATACATCTTCGGTACGAGGTGATCATCACTTTGTCGTAAATATTCAAATCCCCACAAAAGCCAGGTCAGTTCTATTGTATCCGTTATTCTTATACAGCAAAAATGCAATTTATCTGTGAATTTGATTATCTGTAAATTTCGTTTAAGGTGTGAGAGATCTTCCCTTTTGTTTGTCCTTGCTTAATTTAAATATTCAGACATTAATGATATCTTTCTTCTATAAATTTTATTTCACTTTCATTTCATACAGTCAACTGCATAAATACCAAAACCAAAAATTTTTATTTCATTGATACCACTCTTTTTCAATATGTGTATCGAATTCATCAAAATTGGGAGTTAATCTTATTCAATTCTCATCTTTCCAATTCTCCACTCAATTACTCACCCTTCTTAATTTCTTTCTCCTCAATTTCGTCGACGGAGGGTTTAATATGAAAAAAACCTTTGGTGAAGAAAAACCCAAAAAGAAACCCTATGTATTAACAAAAAAAAACCATCACCCCCAACCATCTTTTCCAAAGATTCTCCCTTTATTTTGAAAATTTGAAACCTAATGTATGTTTAATCATTATTTCCTTGTTTCTTGGTCAAGAAATTTGGCAAAAGTTTAAAACCCAAAAGGAAAGACAAGGGTTTCATGTTGATGGGCTCAAAGCTTCATGGTGTTCCTGTTTCTGCCACAGAGGCAGTTCCTCCAACAAGTCCAAAGGTCCTTTCTGTTTCTTCCACCTCAGCAACTCTTTCAGGTATTAGAGCTCCTTTGACTATTGATGATTCTGATTTTGAATATGATTCATTTAGTAGCAATGAGAGTGATTCTGGGATTGCGTCTGATGGGTTCTTGAGTAGTGAAGATGGGTCTGAAACTGCTGCACCTGATGGTGATAGTAAAATTCTTTAAGAAACTCAATTTGTCAAGGAACATGTTATTTCTAGGCTGCCTTCTCTGAAAAACCCACTTGTGGAAATTAATAAAGGAAGTTGCTTTAAAAGAAGTTTTGAAAATTCTAGGCCTTTTTTGGCTGACTCGGGCATAAAAACTATTGGAGAGAATGTTCTTGGGACATCCCTGAAGGAAGCTGAACAATGTTAAATTTTCAGGCTCACAGGCTGAGGCTGTTCAGTCTCCTGGATACCTTGTAAATGGCCATTCTGTAGGTGTGACATCTGGAGGAAGTTCTACAAGTGCTTTGCTGGCAACTGTAGGTGTGACAGGTCCATTCTTCTTTCTTCTTTTCCTCTTTTAACTATTGAACAAGCGTGCATTTCGTCTGTTCTTTTTTCTCTTCTTTCTTTTAAATCATGTTCTCATCATCAGTTACTGACCACGTTTATCAAGTGACTCATTGTTTGAATACTCCTTGTTTAGTTTATCTCTTGCATAAGAATAGTGACGCTGAAAGTTTGTATTAAAATGTTTTGTTCCTTGATTTTTGAGAATTTTTAACAATGTAGTAACTGAAATCCAGTTGTTTGCATGAGGGATCAAGTAGTTTCCATTGAAAATCAAAGGAAATCAACTACAGCCTCCTTGTCATATTATGAGTTGGAATGAATTGAATCTATCACAAGATAGGATTTCAATGTTTTAAGTTTTGCTTCCATTTAATTTGGTTCAATTCATTCCATTTGATTGGAATGTTTACTTTTCCCTAGCAGTTTTCACTTTATAAAATTGATTTAAAAAGAAACAAAATGGTACAACTGAACTGGGTTACTCACTTTTTGGATTGTTTGCATCTCTTTAACTCTGTTTTTTTTTAACTAAAGTTCATCGTGACAACCATTAGCTGAAATTCAGGTTTTGGTGTAGATGACATAAAAAAACGATTGTGATTCAATCACTTGAGTTCAAATCTGGATGGGCTGGTGGTGATTGAAGGTCATGACTTGAACACAAATGCATGTCTCTTAGCTGAAAATTTCAGGTAGAACACATTAATTATTTATAATTTTTGTAATTCTGAAACTGTTTATGCAGATGTTTAAATTCCAGAAACAGACATTCAAAATATTACATTAAACTGATCTGACTCTATTTGACTTTTTCCATATATCAGGAGCAAAAATCAGAAAACTCAAGTGATTGAATGTTCAAAAACAATTGGTGGTGACTTGAGATGTAAAGAGGTTCCAACCAGTTTCAGTTTTCATACTGCTTCCAAGGTAATCTTTACATGTTTTTAAGTTCATTTATGTGGAATACTTTGTTTATTTAGCTACACATGGGTTGAAATTCTTTATTTGCAATGTAAATACCAAAATTTTTATTTTGCTAACCGTCGAATAAATCCTAATCTAACACGTACCTGCACAAAATGTCCAACATGCACACCCTTATTACAACTTTATTTCCTATACTAACACGTCTTCCTTCTTGATATATGAAATATTGCCAGCTACTCACCCCTGATATTTCTTATGTTAACACGTTTCCGTTTTTGGTACATTAAATACTACCAATTTCTTACTCTTCTTCTCTATTATAAATATAATTTCATCACTTCTACACTCTCTCATCAAAAATCAGAACTTCCTCTTCTCACAAACTATTGTTACATACAAGTAAAAAAAGAAAAGATGCCCGCTCCTATCCAGTGTACTTGTATTCATTGTGGTCAGTGCACTTATAATTCCATGTTTGAAAGAGAAGTAGAAGAATTGCTGAAAAGGCTTTTATCTCACCCTGTATGGAAATATATCCTGAAAACAGCACTTAACATGGAGTGGAGTCTTTTTCTTCTACTTGAACGTACTGATATAATCGAGAATGAATTATGTACTTAGTTTTCTTGTACCAAAAAAGCAGTCAAGCTGAACCCGGTGACCCCTTCACTTCTCTTCTTGTGTTTTGGCGGATGTTCCACCGATGGTTCTCTTCTCTTCTTTCATGGTGAAGAAATTCGTTTCTCATCTTTTCTTTTGAAACAAAACTATTCTGCTCTTCTTCTTTTTTTGTGTGTGTTTTCTTCTCGCACAAAATTGCTTCTCTCAAAATCGAAAATGATGAGCAAATTCCTCCGCCTTCGGTTTCTCGACGCAAAAATTATCCTTCTTCTTCTTGCACAGAAAAAGAGGCTGTCCTCCCAAAATTGAAGTCTCTTTTTTCCATTAGGTAAGATGTGTGTTTGTCTTATTTCTGGCTTATCTGGTGCAATTGAGGCCCATTGGATGTTTAGAGATTTGTATAATTCGGCTAAAGTGAATTTTTTTTTGGTGGATTGCTGTGTTATTTCTACAAATCCGTTGTTTTCTTCACATTCCTGTTCTGCTAAGGCTCTGTCAAATTGACGTTCTGAGCTTTTGTATGTGAAGAAAATAGGAATGTGAATCCTGAGTTTGCACATAACGTGCTTGAATTTTTTCCTCAGAGAATATAATAAAGACATCACATTAGTCTTTGTTTTTGTGTGCTATCTATTCGATTATTTGTCTGTACCAAAACTGAGTTTGCTTCTATCCGCTAATGTAGTTTATAAGCTTTCTTATTTGGATAGATACATATTTAAAGTACATACTTTCAATGTAAAAATCAGTATATTTGGATAAATACATACTTCGATGTCAAATCAGTATATTTTTTGCGGTATTATCCGAAATGGATACCCTACAATTACTTACTGCAGCAATGTGGTGCATGATTCAATTGCAACATGTGGAAATGCATGCACTAACTCACAATCTTTCATTTTTCCCCACCTGGCAATCTGGTTGTTTCCTTTTATACTAAAAAAATTCTATCATTTTGTTCTTTCTTCAACAATACCCTCGGTTATAAAAACACTATCCTCTGTCTCCTCTTCCAAATTCACCAATTGAATATAACAACTCTGTCCTTACTTTTAGCTTCCTGCTTTGATTCTTCTTCAAACAAACCAGATTTGTTGCGGAGAGCTTACGATCAAAGGGGTACACTTTTGGAATGTCAAGTTCGGACAGCTTAGGATCAAAAAGGTTCACTTTCATCTACACAGAAAAAATTTCAATATAGATGAAAAATTTCAGTCATAAATCAATGCTATAGACAAACAAAGAGCTACAATATCATTTCCGTTTTACATTTTACAAAATTATTTTCTAAAACTTACATTCTTATCCCTTTTCTTTCCCTTGTCCTCTACAGATCTGAAGACGAAAAATGCATACTATTGGCAGATCTAAAGAACAAATCCACTGAATGGTATATCAAAATAATAGTAGCTGAGAAGACACCAATCCGTCGAACCAGAAAAGGAGGCTCAATTCAAAGATACGTCTTCGTCGATAAAGAGGTAACATTAAACTACCTATCATAAAACTAACTATCTCCAAAATTTCTTTATCATCTTGACCAATGAATGACATAACAGATGACACTTTCATTTGCAGCACACCAAAATACAGTGCAATGTTTTCCAAACCGATGATGTAAACAAACTCAATGATATTATTCATTTATATGACACATACTACATCGGGAAAGGAAAAATAATTCCAGCAAACAGAAGTTATGCAATCCTGGTAGATGGAGAATACCAAATCGTGCTGAATAGAAGCTCCTTCATCAAAAAAGCAAGCACAGAGCATGCATTACCTCTTGAGCATATCTATAAACTTGCTCCATTCGCACAATGTTCGGAACTGACCGGTTCCAGCAACAACCAAATCAGCTAAGATTTTTGTTATTTTTCTTTACCTAAATATATTAATGATTTATACGCATTAATCCCATTATAAAAATTTAAGTCAAAACTTTTGAATTTTTCAGACTTAATTTGTACTGTCGTGCATTTTCATCCAACTCGATTTATTTCGAGCCTTGCAAGGAACGTACAAGAATTTCTCATTGTGAATCAAGAGTAAAAAACAATTTTTACAAACAATACTGCCTTACTATATTCTATTTAACCATATTGCATTGATTAACTATTCCTACTGCTGCCTTTATAGATGTATCCCCATGGTATTAAGTTTGTGGGATGAATTTGTGGAGACAGAAGGGCATTATTTAGTAGATAACATCCATAGAAGACCTATCATTGTGGCTATGCGACTATCAATTAGTACTTTTCATGGTAAGATCAAACGAACTGATTTCCATTTCATTTAATTCACCTCATATAATCATTGCCTATTGTAATAATCCAAGGTTAATGTCACAGGTTTATCCCTTTCCACTTCTGGAAGTAGTGTGATCCTATTCAATCCACCAATACCTGAAACCATGCAGCTACAATCATGGTGAGAATTTTATCAGTTCGGATTAAGATAATAGTTAGTTAAAAAACCTTTATATTTCAGGCGGGATTCAAACAGAGATGTCATCGAAGACATCATTGCCGACTACATCATGAAAAACCACGTCGGATTTTAGAGTCACCAACTGATTCTCAGATCCGAACGATTAGCCAGGTGAAAAATTTGACTCAACAGGTAATATCATGTTATAGCTTTTAACACACACTGATTTTTCCCGTAAAATAAAAAGAAACAAACTGACAATCTTCAAATATGTATTTACAGTCATCAGTGGAGTTAAAATCATTTTGGCTAAAAGCTAGAGCAAAGATTGCCAAATTAGATCAGCGTCTTTATGCCTTCAGCTGTCCTGGTTGTTCAAAAACTTGTGGCCTCTCTGAGCCAAGTGAATTCACCTGTTTGTACTGCAACACGAATTATCCAAACCCAAATTCAGTGTAAGTTAACAGAACTTTTTTGTGACTTTTAAACCTGCAGCTATATTGTCCCTCTTTATTTATTTTTTTACGTATACAAAACATGATCATTATAAATCTTATGTGCAGCCTTAGATTTGAACTCCAACTGACAGATAACATTGGTTGTCTTCATGCTACAATTGAAGAAAATGAAGCTGAAACATTGTTGAAAATGTCAAAAGCTGATATCATTCAAGTTCAACAAACGGTATTCAGTACAAAGTAACATTCTATTTTTCCTTTCATCTTGTACATATATTAACTTCTAACAATACAGGAAAACAGGATCAGCATACCTGATCTAAATCAAAAATTCGAAGACGTCCAACAATTCTTCTATCTGCGGACCAACAAAAGAGTCAGGGATTCTCTTTATCCTCGATATAATATTATTGCTTCCCTGCCAATACTTCACTTATCTTCTGCCAAATCAGACTCTGAAAAAGAAAGTGTGGCATCAGACACAGCCAGCAAAATGTCAATAGACACTCCATCACTAGAAGATGAGGCAACCACATCAAAACAAGTAGAAGCAAGAACAATTCCTGCCAAAAGAATGCTTCAATCAACTGACAGTCCATCGTATGCAAAACATATCAAGCAAGATTAATTATCAACGTCTTATCATTAAACACTCTGGTTGGTATGTTACTGTATATGTTATCCTTACTATTCATGAGCCTTTGACTCTTTTGTTTATAAAAATTCAGGTTTTAGATATACATGCATTTTGTTTACTAATAGCATGTACAGAGCTACTATGGCACCTAAAACTCTGATTCTTTTGCCAATCAATGAAAAGGCTCATAAATAGTTAGATTGGTGTGATATTTACAATATTATGCATGTATATATTGATGATTTTAGCTTCTTATCACTTGGCAAAACTAATGTACATTAATATTTCTTTTTTATTTTCAAATTAACTTGTTTGTTTGCTTTTTCCATTCACTTTTTTGGCCATTAATTTTCGGCGAGAATTTTTTCATTTTTTCAGTTTTGTAAAGGAAGCGAAAAAAGTAGGCAAATGTTAAAATCTATTTATTTTCGGACTACAATTCCCGAAAACATATTTATAATTATATTATCTAAAACAAATAAAAAAATTTAACGTCCAAACTTTCGGGCTACAATTCCCGTTCCGCTGCACATTGTGCAGCTCCCATCTCTAGTACTTAAAATAAGAGTAACTTATATTTTAACTTAAGTATTTTTGTTTATGTTTGTAATTATTAAATTTTTGTTTCATTAAAAAAATTATAATGTCATGGTTAGGGTTGTAACAGACCTTCTTAATGTAAAAGTAATAAATATTAGGCTTTTCTTACTTATAGGATTGCAAAAATCTTTAAATTAATAAAATATTAATTTATCGATAAATTAATAATTTTATAAATTAATAAATTTTGGAGGCCCAAGTTTATTATTTTATGGAGATTTTACTATATTACATTATCTAAATTTAAGCGCTATGTATGTATGTGTGTATATATATATATACATATATATATATATACAAATTTAGTTTATATATAAATTTAAGCGGTATATATATATATGTATATATATAGAATTTAAATAATTTGAACCTGTATATTGTTCATTTGCTTTATAATCAACAGTTGTCTAAATGCACAATAAGATGTATACCATTTATATGAAGTATGATCTGATTATTTTGAACATCAATTGATTTTCAGTTGGAAGTTTTGGAGCAATGTAATAGAAAATTTGATGTTTTGATTTATTTTTCAAATTTTAACACATATACTTTTTAAAATCTTATCATTGAAAGTGCGATTATTATACCAAAATATTAAAATTTGGTTTGTGCACCACATTTTTAGAATATATACTTTTATATCTTACTACTGATAAGTGTGATTATTATGTGGGCACATAAACAATCGAAATTATCCACCTCATTGAAGGTTATTCCATGATCGAAGCAAAGATAATGTCTGATGTATATTTTTCAAAATCCATAGAGTTTACAATTTTAGCATTTCATAAATTAACATTATATGAGAGGGAGTTTCTTCTAAACCCTAGGAAATATATCAGCAAAATTAGGAGTTTCTTCGTCAAAACCATAATTCTAGTTCAATATTTAAACTAATGGTTCAAACCTAGTTGGGTATTTTTAAGTGGTTTTAAGTAACGCAATTGGCATATCACAAAGTGCGAACTTTGTTAAGTATCATGATTTGTTGCAAACTGGCACTTTTAAGACACTTTGGTCATTTAGAAATGCTAGAGATGACATATGAACTAGTGCTTTTGAAACTGGGTTGTGTTGAACTGGTGAATGTTGAAGTCTATTTAAATTGATGATTTGGTAAGTTTGTTTGTTATTCAACTGTAACATATTAGCATTTATGATTTTTTAACTTTAAAGTTTTATTTGTTCTGTAAGAGGTGGTAAGTCATATGCACTGCCATTTTTTTACCTTTATTTCTCTTTAAATAAAACGGATACTATTCCTGCCAGGCTCCACCTGGTTTGAGCTTAAAAAAAAGTTAGAAGTAGAATCTAAATAGAAATTCTAAGTTGTGGTAGTGGCGTATGCTTTTGACAATGTATAATTTAGACAAACAAGTTCTTTTGGTGGTAAATAAATGATTACAAGATGAAAAGATCATAGACAACTTCATCTTAATTATTTCAATTCTGACATCCTTCTAATATTGCACAACTTTGAAGTGTAACTTTTACTAAGTTACTAGTGCTATTTGTACCATTTTTCACTCATGAATAAGGATACTACAAACTAGTGATTTTAAATGTATTACAACACAAACTAGTCTTCAAAATACACATACCAAAACATATTATAGTAAATTAATTGGTTGATCCATTTGTTTATTGGTTAATTCTTTTCACTATATTGTGTTTTGGTTAAAAATCATGATTGTTTGAATTTTCAAATCACCGATATTGAAGAGTTACAACACATATGACAATTAGAAGGGGTAGGGACAAAATCACCTAGAACAATGTTTGAAATGTTTCCTCCTATGAGATTTCTTATGAGGACTAAAAACTCCTTTTAACTGCCAGAACACTTAAGGTTAAAGGTTCGACAACGTAAACTGACAAAACAAAAACCATGTTATTTTCAACTAACTCTTTTCATTCTTCATTTTCCAAAACTAAAGCAACCATTACCAACGTATTAATTTTCTAGCATTCAAACCATCATGATTTTTAATCATGACATTATAATATAGTGAAAAGAATCAACCAATTAACAAATGCATCAAAATATATAATCTTCAATGTAGCTGAAATACCGTTACCCTACTACACAATTACAACACCTTAAAACTAAAGAGACTTGGTGCAGGATGATTTGTAAGGAAAAAAGAAGATAAGCGGTAAAAAATATAAGGGCGGAGAGAAAAAGTTAATCAGATAATGTAGAAAAGGGTATTTTTGCTATCACACTCAAGTTTTACCACCATTTATGGCCAATGGGTCATTTTATCCATTCACCTAGTCTTCACTAGGGTATTTGCCTTTTCAACAAACATTGAGGTGGAAAGAGGCTTGGGGACATAGTTCAAGATAGTATTTGTCCTTGTTCCGAATTAGAAACTAAATTCCACATCAACAATCAACCAATACAATCACCAATATAGGCAAATGACTAAACATGGGGAATTGATACATACACAATAGCTAATTCTCAAAATCTTTACATATTTGTCTTGCATCAACCATTTTTATGATTATTTCCTTGATTCTTAGAAAGTAGGTCCAGTTTGTATGTTTCTTGGAATAAACAAGCCACAGTAAAGAGGCAGTTGTAGTGGTCCTAAAGATGCCCCTTCTTCTTCTTCTTCTTCTTCTTCTTCTCACTCACTCACTCACTCACTCACTCACTCTCTCTCTCTCTCTCTCTCTCTCATCGACAATGCATTTAGCATTTAAATTACCGTGGCAAGGATGAGTTCTACATAGGAAACCCGAGCGGTAAGGATGTAATAGTAGCACCCCTAGACAGTAATCTGTGTCATGTGCTTTTTAATAGTTTAAAGCACAAATTGGGTTGTTTTAAGTAACTAAATATGAAAACTAATGAATGAACAAATATAGTAATTGAACTACACACTCTGGGTTATGTTGTTGTGAAGATGCAGTATTGTGCAAGAGAGAGGTATCTATTCTAGTAGGATGCCTTGGTCTGGTCGCCTGTATTCCATACTCTCGAACAATTTTAATCTTATGTGATAATGTTGGATAAGAGACACTAAAACATTTTCTGTAAGTTCCTAAAATTCAATATAATAATAGATATAGTAAAATTGAAAATACTTTATTAAGACACTTTTTTTTAGGGAAATCTAGGGCGGTACCTTGCAGGAGGACCCCGATTTTATTAATTTAAAAAAAAAATTACAAAAGGCAGTGCTTAAGACTTACCCAAAAAGAAGAGCCGTCGTACAAAATTTTTGCTAAAAACTCCATGACGGTTCTGATGCAATTACTCTAAGAGACTGTCTTACAAAGGTTATGCAAAATCCCGCGACAGTTCTTTGTTTTAAGAAAAGAAAGAGAATTATATCAAAAGCTAAAAGTTTGTCTTTCAAAGATTTTCTATAAAATTCCATGACAACTCTTATCTCTATTCTATCTACCTTATTCTAAGATATGGATAAGATATTTGATCAAGGAAGAAAATACCTCTCAAATGGTTTGGGAGACTGGATGAGCTTTCATATTTTGTAGATTGTCCTTTTGAACCTTGCTTTGAAAGTCCATCTGCTAGTGCATTTATTTCTCGGAAGATATGCTGGATAGTAAATCCAGTGCGGTTCAAAATCCTTTTTATTTGAGACAGTTGGAAGTGGTACCTCCAAGGATAATGTTTAGCTTTATTAAGACACTATAATGTGCCATAATATGGAATCTATAAAGTCATTTTTATTGTCTTGAGAAATTGTGTATTGATATACAATCACAAATGTCCATTTTTTTTTGTTAAATAATCCATTTATTGGTAAGTGATTTAAATCATTGTTCAAAATATATTGAATCATTATACAACAAAAGTATCCAACTATATATTAAAAAATCATTTTTGTAATCTTAACTACATTTCCTATTAATTTACCAACTAATTTCTTGGACCCTTCTTGGATTGCCATTGACTTTTGATATGAACACCAAATATATTCCCCCTTATGCTTTGCTCATCATCTAGTCCTTATAAACTCACCAAAAAAGAAAAAAAGAAAAGAAAAGAGAAGAATAAATTAGTCTAAGGAGCCGTTTGTTTCCTCATCAGGAAACAGATTAGGAGACAAATTTGAATCATGATAGATTGGATTCGAATAATCAAGGATTCGAATAATCCAATAATGTTGTTTGGTTCCAAATATTGGAATACAACATGGTCTTAAGCACCAGAAGTGGAAGAGGAAATTGGCATGTAGAGTTATAGCAGCTTGTGTTTACTATGTTTGGAGAGAAAGAAATAACAGAAGGTTTCGGCAGGAAACTAAGGTCTTGTATGATTAGCGTCTTGGTTTTCATTTTTGTTTTTGTTCTTCTTTTGAAACTAAAAAGTGTTTTAGAAGTTATTTTAAAAGAAAGTTAAAAAAGTT